GCGAGCCGCACCATGACGTCAGAAACATTGTCGGTCACTGATTGGTCGGGGGGAGGAGTCTGTTGAGTCTTTCCAAACAACCCAATCCATCATTTTTTTCTCTACCGCTTGCCAGTAGCAATAACTCAAGGAGCGTATCTTTTAGTATTTTGAAGCTATAAAAAAACAATAATATCAAAGCTGTGGTCAAATGCAGAAGTGCAGGTGTTGTTGTGTTTGGTGGCCGACGAAAAAAGTCAAAGCGAGCTAGATGGAGGATTGGAGGGTGGTTTGGACACGGCCACTGCTCTACTTGAATCATTTATAGAAGATGGTGAGTGTTTTCTAACTTTAAACATATTTTAAGTGACTCATCCCATCGGTTCTGAACATATTTTTAACTAACAAAAGAGGCTGACGCCATAATAGGACAACGTCGGTGCTACGATGCTAAGCTAATTTGCATAAATGCTAACTGTCCTCCGGTCCTGTTTCTCACTGTATTTTATCCAGAACATATTTCAGCGCGACGGTTCATCTCTAAACTCCACATTAAACCCTCCAAGCCTCCCGGCTCCTGCCCCTGCTCCATCAGCGGAGTCTACACCTGACAGAGCTCCATCAGAGGAGTCTGCACCTGACAGAGCTCCATCACAGCCCAGCTGCACCTCACAGAGCAGCACAATGCTGCAGCTTCTGTGCTCGGTAAGAACAGATGCAACATGTTCCACATCACTTTATTTGTGCCGATAAGGACTTGATTTATTGTATTTTTAAAGTAAAAAAATAAAATGTTGAATAAATACTGAATTGGGATGAAATTATGTACTTTGTACACAGGGTCCCAGTTACAGACAACAAAATGTAAAAGAAAAACAGTAATAAGATCTAAGATATGAATTAAGAAAAATATCAACTAAAAAACATCTACTAATAAAACACTAAGCACTAATAGCAGTAAACAATCAAAACAATACGTCAAACAGCAACATGAACTTGAGTTTGAGCAGCCTCAATATATAACACTGTGAAGAATCACATCATGTTGCTGCTGATCTGTTTCATGTTGCTGTGTTCATTCGTGCTCGTCTGTTCACACAGACTCATGTCCGTGCTGCTGTTCAGCGTATTGTGTTTGTTTTTATGCTATTAGAGCTTATTATATTTTTAGTTGTTTTTCTTAGTTCATATCTTAGATCTTATTACTGTTTTTATTATACATTTTATTGTTGGATGTAACTGGGACCCTGCAAACATAATTTTGATCCACCACATGTACCACATGAGGTGCGAATGACAATAAAGAATATCTGCATCTGTATAATACTTTCTGATTCATATATCCACTGTTATTATTATATTATTTTCATTATTTTTAAATCAATTTATTTTTCATTTTCTTATTTGATCAGTTTCTTATTATTAATATATCTATTATAGCTGTTAGCAGCACCTTTCTTTGTTTTATGCATTTATTCAAAAACAATATGTAGCTTGAATTAACCACCTTTTTCTTCTTTCTAGACAAGAGAGAGAGAGAAGAGTCCAGTAAAGAAAAGTCTTATTTCATCACTGAATGAACATGAAGAACTGAACCGGACACAGCAGGAACAACACTTGTGTCTTCTTCTGGATGAAGCCCGTGAGACAAGGGACACACAGATACACAATCATTAGTTGGAGGCTGTATTTTTATTTTTCTACATTTTTCACTTCTTACTTTTCCTATTAAACAATTTTTTTCTTAAGCAGTGTCCTTGAACATTAAATTTCCTAAACAAATTTTACAATGTTAAGTTCATATAGTGTTTGTTTAAATTCATCCTGGAAGTTGAGAATAATTTCCAATTGCATTTGATCTTTAATGGATCCTAAGAAAAGATTACTAGAATCTGCTCAACTGTTATTATGTTATAAATTTTTTGGTTCTAGGATGAAGTGAGACAAAAACAGTCAAAAATTCAGAAAAGACAGTTATCATTTATCAGTTATCAATTATCAGTTATCGGCCGTACAACTGTGGCCTGAGAGATTCAGCTGAAAGTCCTGGTGCACCTTTTATTTGAACCTGCAGAGATTTGAACAGCTGATCTGAAGCAAACATGCAGGAGTTCAACTGAACTGACCACTCCTGCTGTGTTTGATGGTCTCCTCTTTCGCCATCTGTCCATCCATCCATCAATCCATCATCTTCTGCTTCAGGGTTGTGGAGCAGCATCTTTACCAGGGAGGCACAGACATCAACAGCCACCTCTTCAACTCTTCTAGGACCCCATGGTGTTCACAGACCAACTGACTATTTATTAAATAATATCCTGATGCTGCTCAATAATCCAGGTAGAAAAATCTAAAAAGTTAAGTCTGGTCCTCTGGACATTCACAAAACAAACAATACAGTTTATAATAAATAAACAATAAATGTTTTTTGTATGTTTTGTTTTCTGAATGTCCAGAGGACCAGACTTAACTTTTTTAGATTAATAAGTAATAAATTTATGTTTTTAAATTTAATGAAAGACAAATCTTTAAAATTTAAGGACAAAGGACAAAATTTAACCTAATTGTTTTCAAGTCTGTATCTTATTGTAAAAGCAGTTTCAAAGATTACAGCACAGTGTGATGTTTTGCAATTTTAACATGAACCTTGTGCATATCTGTAAATAATAAAAGTAAAGATATTTTTAATACATCTTTATTGTAAAAATCTATACTAAAATGAAAAACACATGGGTTTAAATCAGGCAGGGAAGGCATTAAGGTAGGATTATGAATCAGGTTTAAAAGTTACAGCTCATGAGGTACTCCATTAGAGCATGACATCTCTTCCACAACATCGTGTGACAAAACCTTCAGGGTGTTCTTCTTCTAATACGTTTAGTGGTGGCTAGTAAGTAGCTTAAGGGAGCACTACCGCCACCAGGTGGTAAGACGAGTTGGATTCTAGTCCCCGCCTACAGAGCCGGTCCAGAAGTGTAAATGGAAACGCAACAGACCCGAGCCGATCTGAACCGACCCGAACTGATCTGATCCGCACTGTGACAGTGGAAAAGGGGCATATGTTTCTCGGCTGGCCTGGGAACGTCTGGAGGAGCTGGCCCAAGTGGCTGGGGAGAGGGAAGTCTGGGCCTCCCTACTTTGGCTGCTACCCCAGTTGTCCTCCAATGCAAGAGTTGGGGGTTCGAATCCACCAGCAGTCACATGCCGAAGTGTCCCTGGGCAAGACACTGAATCCCTCGTTGCCTCAGATGTGTGTCCCATTGGTGTATGAATGTGATAAAGCACTGATTAGTCTCTTTAGAATGATTTGTTCAATTAGATTTGTAGAGATCTAGTAGAGTGCTGTATGAATGGGTAAATGAGGACACAGATTGTAGTGTAAAGCGCTTTGAGTATCTCGATAAGATAGAAAGGCGCTATATAAGTACAGTCCATTTACCATTTACCCCCACGACCCCAGATAAGAGGAAGAGAATGGATAGATGGATGTCCTTCCTGACACAACCACAGACCACTGATCTACCACAGCCCTCTGTGTGGAGCAGAGAGCTGCAGATGCTGGGGGTTTAAGGCCTTGCTGGGGGACCTGAATGGGGCAAATGAGGGTGGAGGCAGGTGTGGGTGCTTCACCTTTCCCACCCACATTTTGATGTTGTCGGTCATCTAGTTCAGTTGAACTAGCAACCTTCCGATCACAGGCGCACCTTCTCTAACCTCTGCACCACCATGAATGGTTATGAAATTAAATCACATCTAGCAGCATTGATTTCCTGTGGTGTTCTCTAAGGCAGCGGAGCAGAGCGAATCTGTTAGAAAAGGAGCTTCGCTGCCTTTACAGGGTGTCATGAAGGGGACGGGTTGTCCATCATGAAGAGCAGTTTGTTTTGTGACTTCATGTCCCTCACTGACACAAAGGTCTCCAAGCTCTGCCTGAGTTTCTAATTGTCTAAGGATTATAAAAATGGTTGTGGTGCTACAGTTTTTGTGTTGTGGAGCTAAAACCTTTTTCTCTCAAATGGAAACCTGAATTTGCGAGGTACACACACACACACACACACACACACACAGCTGAGGAATAAACAGGTCTCTCTTGAAAATGAGTTCTCGTGGCTCAATGAGACTAACCTGGATAAATAAAGGCTAAATGAAAAAAAAAAATAAACACGTCTGTGAAGAAGTGCCTTCAGTGTCATTAAACGAGCTGCTTGGTGAAACAAGCACTGCTTTTTCCTGGCATTCTGCCTGACCCTCATTTAAAACTTGATTTAATAAAAAATACTAATAATTTCAATACATGTAATTAAAACAATGTTTCATTTTTAATGTTTTAATGACTATAATATATCTATAATCATAAAACTGATATTTTCACACAGCAGTAGTTTTTGTTTTGAGATCAAATCTACTAAATGATGTTGAAGTTTTGTTTCTTTAATGGTGAAACCAGTGAAGTTTTTCGTGACGTCTGTCTTGAACCATCCCATTCCTTTATGCTGTTAATTATCAGATTTATCTGTCCTTAAAACCAAATAGTTCCTACTCCATTCACCCTCTGTTAAAATGTCTTAGTGACATCAAGGAATGTCCTCATATATGTCTTGCTGTCCTCATACATGTCTTGTCAAGGTCAATCAATCAAGGAACCAATCAAGGAAACACACCTGTGTTTAATACAGTGTGATTTGATTTAATATTTTACAGTTTTTGTGTTTTTATGTTTTTCTTTTGATGCTTTTAATTACATTTTGTTATTTCTTTAATTACTCACTTTGAACTTATTGTTCATCACTTTGGTAACAGCTTTAAATGTGCTTCATAAATAAACTTGACCTTCAGTTATCTAGTCAGAACAATGTAAATTTGAGTTATGTTTGGTCAGTGAATGTCACAACTCAAATCCTGCTGTTAATGACTTTAAGGATCTGTTTTATATTAGCCATGGTGTTTTACCGTCGTTAGCCTCTAGCTAAAATGCTAGCTGCTTTTTGTGTGTCTGTTTACATTTTAGCTCTTTGTCTTTGCAGAACACGAGAGAGTTTAGCATCGAACACGTCGTCGATCGTGGAGCGTAACCGACGTCAGAACATGGCGCTGAGCCCTGGACACCTCGGCATCACCGGTGGCAGCGGGCCTCCTTTTTCTTTCCACACCATTTCAGAACCTACTAGCACCCAAGCAGAGAAGATCCAAAAGCCCAACGCTTGCCTTGCATCCATTACAAGCGTGTAGCGTTGGAGCGGTGCCCGGACAGTTAAAATAAAATTCAAGTTTCATCATCTTCAAACTGACTGAAACGGTGGAGCAGTGGTTTCCTCTGATGAGACACTGCATCAAGAACCGTGTCTAACTTCTATAAACAGAAACACAGACGGGCCAGACTGACGTCACTCAATCTGTAGTTTACACACTACTGCTGTTACGTTGTTTTTGTAAGTGTGTGTGTGTGTGTGTTTGTGTGCGTGCGTGTGTGTGTGTGTGTTCTGTTATCTCAGGTTCTTTTATCTTCACTCCCATCCTAATTGCTCCAGCTCAGTGTATTTCCTTTAAGCGGTGCTACACACTGAGGAGCTGCAGCTCAGCGTCTGATGGTCCAGGTCCGACAGCACCAAGTCCAAAACCTGCTGATGGTCCAGGTCCGACAGCACCAAGTCCAAAACCTGCTGATGGTCCAGGTCCGACAGCACCAAGGCCAAAACCTGCTGACTTGTAAAATGTGAATAAAGATGTTTATTTACAGTAAAACCTGGAGAACACATTGAAGAGTTCAACTAACGAATTGCACCGTTATTTAGAAAGAACTACGGTCATTTAAAATGTGATGGCTGCAGCACATTTTCAAACAGAACCAGGCCATATTCATGGCTGTGATGCCCCCCCCCCCCCC